TTCTCGGCAAAGGCTTTACCACATTGATTACATTCATAGGGTTTCTCTCCAGTATGAATTCTTTCATGACTGAGAAGATGACTCTTCTGTGCAAAGAGTTTGCCACATTCATTACATTCATAGGGTTTCTCTCCAGTATGAGTTTTTAAGTGAGTGAGAAGACGACTATTATATGGAAAGGCTTTACCACATTGATTACATGCATAAGGTTTCTCTCCAGTATGAATTCTTTCATGACTGAGAAGATAACTCTTTCGTGCAAAGGCTTTACCACATTCATGACATTGATAGGGTTTCTCTCCAGTATGAATTCTTTCATGACAGAGAAGACTATTCTTCCCTCTAAAGGCTTTACCACATCGATTACATTTATAGGGTTTCTCTCCAGTGTGAAATCTTTCATGACTCTGAAGACTTCTCTTCTCTGCAAAGGCTTTTCCACATTGATTACATTCATAGGGTTTCTCTCCAGTATGAATTATTTCATGTCTGTGAAGAACATTCTTCTGTACAAAGGCTTGACCACATTGACTACATTCATAGGGTTTCTCTCCCGTATGAATTCTTTCATGTCTGTGAAGATCACTCTTCTGTACAAAGGCTTTACCACATTGATGACATTCATAGGGTTTCTCTCCAGTATGAATAATTTCATGTCTGTGAAGTTCATGCTTCTGTGCAAATGCTTTACCACATTCATGACATTCATGAGGTTTCTCTCCAGTATGACTTTTTAAGTGACTGAGAAGATGACTGTTATATACAAATGCTTTACCACATTCATGACATTCATAGGGTTTCTCTTCAGTATGAATTCTTTCATGACTGAGAAGACTATTCTTCACTCTAAAGGCTTTACCACATTCATTACATTTATAGGGTTTCTCTCCAGTATGAAATCTTTCATGACTGTGAAGGCTTCTCTCTTCTGCAAAGGCTTTACCACATTGATTACATTCATAGGGTTTCTCTCCAGTGTAACTTCTATTATGTATTAAGGGACATTCAAAGGCTTTATCACATTGCTGAGATTCATACCTTTTCTCACTAGTTTGAATTCTATGTACTTGATGAGGACTATGACATGCAAAGCCTTTACATCTTTGATTATACTCACAGGGTTTTCCTTCCAAATGAGTTCTTTGGTGTTTTAAAGAGCAATCACATCTAAAGGCTTTATCACATTGATTATATTCATAGAGATTCTCTTCATTATTGGGTGATTGGTGTGTTTGAAGATGCCTGTAACGGCTAAAGCCTTTGGTAGATGACTCACATTTATTATTTTCTCTTAACACATGAGGTTTTCCACATCTTTGAAGAGAACTTGAAGAACTCAGAGTTGGACCACACTGACTGCATTCATAACATTTTCTTATACTGTGAGCCACACTACATGTGCACAGTGAACCAGAAGAGAGGGATGAATTTCCATATTCCTGGTACTCATTTTCTCCAATGAGAGTTTGTTGATGAATTTCCACTGAAGCTGGAAAACCAGTTAATTGTAAACTTGTATCACAGTCATCATGTCTTCTCATAGTGGGGACTACCACATATCTTCCAGTTGTTCTGAGAGAGACAGAACTACAATGCTTCTTTCCATGTCCCTTATGCTCACATGGATTGTGTCCAGAGTGACAGATGACACACCTGCTAAAGAAAGATAACAAATAAAGGGTTTTCACATTGCATTCCCAAAATTGAATTTTTTTGTGTCATACAGATGTAGAATAGTGATCCATGTTTCTATATCTCCAAGTCACTCATAAAGTGCTCCTCTCAGTAAACTATGCTAAATCACTCCCTACAAGAAAATGAGGAACCCTAGCTTTAATATGGAAGCTTTACTTATAAAAGGTCTTGGACATACCTAATCTCCTCATCAATGTGTACACCTTATATGATAAATGGAAGGCATGGCAGTAAGTGGATGGACAGTCCTACAACATGCCTCTCACATGGCTATGATTGAACATGTGACATCTATTCTGGCATTGTTTCCTTGTCTTGTCCTTAAAGGTGTTGGTGGAAATGTGTGAATAGTGTGGCCACACATGTGTTTCTGATAGATTTTGAATGCCCAAGTTTACGTGTCCTGAATGTGTCTTGCTAATTGGATGTTTTAAAACCTATAAGGCTTGTGAATCCAGGTTGAAAGTCTGCTGGAGAATATCACGTGGTCTGCCACTACTCTAATTACAAGCAGCCACCCATCTGGGAAGGTGCAATTTTGGCTAAGGTCAGAGAGAGAGGTCAAAGACTTCATGCCATCTTTAATAAGGGGAACCATGTAGCCAGCCGTCATTTTGACTGAGGTTAAAGATACTTCACCACCATCTTTAGTAAGGGTAACCACTTGGATTGGCCCACCAAGGAGACATTAGGTCTCCAATACAATTTGGGTTAAGATATATTTCAATTTGATAATTCCTGTGGTTAGGATACATATCTGTTTGATAATTCCTGTCCTGTTCCTGTCTGTTCTCTCTGTTCCTGTCTGCTCTCACACCTAACGACTACATAAATGTCTCCAGGCAGTTTGTTCTGTTTGGTCCCTCCTCCTTTCGTCCCTCCCACCAGAGCTGCCTCCACCTACGCAACCACCACGGCCACCACCACCACCACCTGTCCACTAAAAACTACAGACTGAATCATCTTGATCTTACTAACACTGGTAAGCTCTAACTAATATTGGGTAACCTGTATTTCTAGACTTAACTTACATATGCCTTCAAATTTAAGACTAAACAACATTTATCTAATTTACATACACCTAACATTCTCAAACACCCTTAGAGATGTTTTGAGAATATGGCATTTAATATAAAAGCTTTTTATGAGAGACAGGCCAACTCCTGGAAGCATCCTGCATCTTCTCCAAGAAGATGGATCGCCACAGAAGAACTTCCACCTGGAGGCTTGCCTCAAATGTAACAAAGCCAGCCACACAGCGAAAAGCTGCTTCACACCTTAAACTACTGCTGAGATCATACCCAGACTATGCATAAGTTGAGCACTGGGGGAACAATTGTCCCACTCTGCCAAGACAGGTAGGCCAATTTCTCCAAATTTCTACTCCAAAAAGAATCTGTCAGATGCTCTGCATTTGGCATCTGAACAAGTGCTACCTCTGAAACTTGTCCCACAGTGACCATAGAGAGTCTTGGGACTGCCTGGGTAACTGGAAAACTAGCTCACTCCTGCTCATTTACTTATCTTTCTCAGATCTGATGGTGTTTGATGACCAGGGTTCTAATAGATTTGCCAATTTAAAAGAACCCCAATTGCAAGGATAAAAGCACCTTAGAAGTTTATTTGTAAGTTTCCTATTAAAAATACATACAGGTGTGCCTCATTCACAGACTCCATGGTACAGGATAAACTAGTTTCTGCTATAACTTCAGAAGTTCAAAATTTTAACTTTGATCAATGCAGTTTTGATAAACTGACAGAGCACTGATTACAAACAGTCTTCAGGGGTCCTTAAATTTCTGTGGATTTTAATCTTTTCAGCATTAAGACATAGGTTAGCACTAGAGAGGACATAGAACCCTGCAGGCATGTTCAACTCCCTCCTCCTTCACTCACACAACCTCCTTTGTTCAGTGAATTTAGACTTAAAAATGTTCATGCCTTAACCCAAGGCCATAGCTTTTTACCATGATACCAAAATAAAAATCTGTACTAGTAGTTTTAAAGACACCTGAAGGTTCCTGGGAAAAGGGTTCTGATACTTTGTAAAGAAGTCTGGCCTGATGGAAACTATTATTACTTTCCAGAGTCTAATTTGACCCCACTCATTTTTGAGCACACTCTGTAGGTTCACTCTTCCTTCCTGGGACAAGGCCAAACCTGCAGGGGCCCTCCACATACACCAGCCCCTGCAACAGCTCTGAAGATGCAAACGAAGCAAGGGCACCAACTGGAGAAATAATAACAGGCTGATTTCACCAAACTGCCCACTCATAAAAAGCTCCATATCTCTTAACTCTTATGACACATTCAAAGGATGGATGTTCTCCCAACCTCCAGGGCAACAGCAGATGCTATGGCTCCAGTACTCCTGGAACACTTCATCCCTAGATTTCGCATGTCATCTCCTCAAACTCCTGGGACTTCACTGCTGGTACCACCTCTCTGGGCACAAGTGGGCAACTAACCAGTAATTGAAACCTAGATTTCCAAGATGTCCCAATTAAGGGCATATCTGCCCTCATGCCTCACTCATTCACCCTTGACTCTTTTGTACAACCAGGACACTTGTCAGTTCCATTCTTTCTATCATTCTTCCTACTACCAATGGGTAGCCCCATTCAGAGGGCCAGTGATTATATCAATTTTTTTCTCCTAGCTGCCTGCATTCTGTCTCCTCAAGAACAGATTCCTGTGCATGGAGGTGGTGGCAAACACCTTTAATCCCAGCACTCAGGAGGCATAGGCAGGCAGACCTCTGTGATTCAAGGCCAACCTGGCTAGACAGTGAGTTCCCGGTAAGATAACAAAGCTACACAGAAAAACCATGTCTTGGGGGAATAAAAAGAACAGATTCCTGAGGTAACCTGGATGGCAGCTATCCAAATGTTACTCCACCCACTCCATCCCCACATCATCCCATGCCAGCAGGAAATAGAAAGACTTGAACCTGCACCCATATAGACCGAAAAAGATTGAGAGTTTGGAATCTCCAGTTCAGGGAGCCCCGTTCCACAAAGCCCACGACTGGCGGCTCCTCCTCCCAGGGATGTCTGGGACCATGCCCATGCCTACTGGCTATTTAAGACCAGGCCCATAGATCTGCCATGGGTGCTCTCCTCTTCGGTCTCATGCCTTCCTGAGAGCCCCTGGAGTCCTTTGCTTTGCTATGCACTGTTTATTAAATCTGGATTTATTAATTTGGTTTATTTGACTTATTGCATCAGTGATGGAGGAAGCCAGCACCCGGGGATCTGATATTTATCACAGAAATACATATATGCAATCTTGGACATGAAAAATACCTTCCATTTCTTCTACAGCTCTGACAATGTTCTTCAATATTATGGTCTTCCCATTTGTAACCTAAAATACAGTACCAGAAAATGTATGTGATATATTACTGGAAATTAGGCATACTTGAAATTACTATCTTTCATGAAACTTACTACCATGCCTGATTTATTCACCAGATTCTCCCCCTTTCATATGCAAAATCATAGAAGACCACCAATCCAAAGAAAAAAGCTTGCCCCCCTTTAGTTAAAAAGTGACAGAAAGCTCACATTCTTACCGATACAAGTGAGGTTCCAGTAGGTTTCCATCATCACATCTTTGTAGAGACTCTTCTGGGAAGGGTCCAGCAAAGCCCACTCTTCATGAGTGAAGTTTACATGCACATCCTCATAGGTCACTGCATCCTAAAATATCCCATATATATGTTCTTAATTGAAATGATGAGACTGAATTGCAAATATACACTTCATTGAGAATATATTTATATAATTCTGTGTGCTCAAAACAGTCAATGACATTGGTCAGTAAATATCAAATGCAGTCACCAACTCATTTTGAAAGGAAACATCAAAAGAGAATGACACCTTCCATTCCAGTGCCTAAAGAACAGAATATGGCACAGCATGAGAAATGCCTGGCCCAACCTCTAGTAAAAAAAAAAAAAAAAAAAAAAAAAAAAATTGAGCAGGGCAGTGGTGGCACATGCCTTTAATCCCGGCACTGGGGAGGCAGAGACAGGCGCATCTCTGTGAGTTTGAGGCCAGCCTGATCTACAGGGTGAGATCCAGGACAGGAACCAAAACTACCGAGAGAAACCCTGTCTTGAAAAAACAAACAAAAACATTGCAGATAAGGCATAAAGTACTAAGCCAATGCTGTTTAAATTTCCAGAGATATCAGTCACTCATTGTGTATAAGATGTCTCTTCTCTTGGTTGTCTAAGTTTAAATGAATGTTTAATTTTTCACAGTAAGTGGATTCAAGAACAAATTTATGATTTTAATCTATATTATTTGGCATGCTCTTGTCTGTTACTGCAATTTGGCCCTGCTCTTCAAGTTGCCCTCTGGAAATTCTTGGTTAAATTCTATTTTAAAAAAATGTAACAGAACAGGTTACTCTGTTACAGGAACCTGAAACAGGGTAGGTTGTTAGCTAATTAGATAGTGTGGTTGTGAAGGTATAGACTTCACTTTAAAGGCTCAGGAATATGCCATGATAACTCAAATGGATACAGAGTAGTATCCTCCTGAACAAATCCTGAGAGCTATAAGATAATTCAACCTATGGGATAATTACAGTCTGAAATTACTTTACCTATTCAAGTATTATGTAATTTGTTTCAAATTTTACAAGGTGACTCAGATTTAAACATTCCAAGACAATTAACAGCTAAAGTTGAAAATAAACATGGCCCAAGTAAAACAAAAATTACAAAATGCCTTTGTGGATCAGTAGATCTCACAACTGATGTATTTTAGTAATTTTACTTTCCACTCACTCCCCTAATGGACTCATTATGCAAAGGGAAGATACTATTTTTAAATTGAATATTCCTAGCTCACAAACAGAGTAAAATGTTAAAAATCTGTACAGACTAGGTTTCTAAATTAATTATAACATAAGTAATAAGACTTCGTAAATGCTGAGAAATGAATCCAGCTAAGAGTGCAGTAACCTATTCTAATGCTGAAAGTATACAATTATGGATGACCAATGATGATTGACAAAGAGTTTGTAGTAATTTCTTAGGCAAAATTAACAAAAAAAAAGTCTGAAAAGTAAGTGACCTCGGTTTATACAAAAAAAAAAAAAAAAAAAAAAACCTGAATGGAATCTTCTTTGCATAGTGAAAAGAGCACTATTTCTGGGGCTCTTACACTTTATACTGACACACATAAGTTAGGAATGGCCAGGTATAAAGCAGGAAAGATCAGTAAAGAAATTCAAAGTCCATATGCTTCAGTTCAGAAAAACAGAGTTATATGGCATTCTGATAGTTTTATTAGACTTTATGAATCTCTTAATATACTTACTGATTCTCTATATGCAGAAAGGATTGCATTGCATATAGAAACTGCTAAACTTATTGCTGATAATTCAGAATTGACTTTGCTATTCTTGCAACTACAACAATCAATCCTGGTGAGAAATTATCCACAATATATCACTCATATTCGGTCTCATACTGGGTTTCTAGACAATTAGAAAAGGAAATTTAAACATTGATCAATTACTGATAGGAAATGTGTTGGAAGCTTCTGAACTTCATTAAAAAAAAAGTTAATAGCCAAGGCTTAAAGAAAACAGTTTTCCATTACCTAGCAACAAGATAAGGAAATTAATTTAAAAAAAAACAAAACTGTCCTACATGTTCTTTGTATAGTCAAATTCCATTAGCTGCAGGAACTGATACTAAAGGTATATACACACATTCAAATAATAATAATAATAATAAAATTGATAAATGGATGTATTTCACTTAACAGAATTTACAGACTTTAAATTTATTCATCATACCATTAGAATTTACAGACTTCAAATTCATTCATCATACCATTGATACATACTCTAGATTTCAATGAACATCTATTACCTTAAGTTCTAAAAAGGCTGATTCTATTATTACATATTTATTAGAAACAATGGCCATAATGGACATTAAAACAAATTAAAACTATAATGCCCATTAAAACTGATATGTTGCCGGTGGCGGCGGCGGCGGCAGAGGCGGTGGCGCACGCCTTTAATCCCAGCACTCGGGAGGCAGAGACAGGCGGATCTCTGTGAGTTCGAGGCCAGCCTGGGCTACCAAGTGAGTTCCAGGAAAGGCGCAAAAACTACACAGAGAAACCCTGTCTCAAAAAATAAAAAAAATAAAAAAATAAAACCCTGATAATATTTCCAGGAAAATAAAAGTTTTTTTTCTGACACAACATAAAACACATTACAAGGTTACTATATAATGCTACAGGTCAAGCAATTGTTAAAAGATCTAATCAAGGGCAAAAGACACAGTCCATAAGACAAAAAGACAGCCAACAGAATGGGAAAAGATCTTCACCAAACCCACATATGACAGAGGATTGATCTCCACAATATATAAAGAACTCAAGAAATTAGACATCAAAATACTGAACAGTCCAATTAAAAAATGGGCTAAAGATCTAAACAGAGAATTCACAAAACAAGAAATAAAAATGGCTGAAAGATATTTAAAGAAATGCTCAACATCCTTAATCATCAGAGAAATGCAAATCAAAACGACTCTGAGATACCACCTTACACCTGTCAGAATGGCTACAATCAAAAACACCAAAGACAGTCAATGTTGGAGAGCCAAAGACAGTCAATGTTGGAGAGGAT